GAAGCTGCGGCAACCTCGCGGGCCTTTGCGAATAAGCACGCCATGCCTGAGTAATTGCTTTTAAGTGCTTCGTTGTTTGCAAGATAGACATCTTGCTATTTCACCCGGCCTTCAGCTAGCCGGCATATCACGGTTCCGGTGGCGTCAATGTGGTCTGGCTTTCCTGATTTCTTCTCTGTCTATTTTGCATCACATTTCTCCATCTGGTCGGGACAGGACGATACCCTTTACGAAATATAACCACTACTACCTGTATTTGAGACTGATACTCAGAATTGTAAGCCTTTAATACTTCGATTTCCCATGCCTGCGTCATGGCACCCCTGGTATCATAGAATCGAATATAAACACAAATAAAGAATGGTGGTAAAAAGACAGAACAAAAGAGGAGACGCAACAGATAACAACTGCTGGCGAAAGATACGCGGTCAAAGGCCGGCCACTTACTATGACTTTCCAGCGGTCTGTGTCTGATCGTTATCCTTTGTAGAACCAAGTTCACCGGCCATCGCCTCTGCTGTAGCCTTCTTGATACGATCAGCTTCGTCAGCATTATGCTGTTCTTTGCCCTTGGTATCTCTCTCATCTTCGCTGTCTCCCAGGCTGAACGGATCATTCTCTGCGACAGGAGATGGCTCCACTGTGGCCAGCGGCTGCCATTTGCTCGGCTTGCCTCCCGTGGACGTGAGTTTGGCCGGGTCGGACGTGTCATAGAGATTGCCGATCTCAGATGGCGGACCCTCTTGGAAAGATACCTTACGTCTGTCGGGTGAGGGAGAAGCTGATTTGTACAGATTTGGGTTGGCAAGTGGCCTCCTTGGTGGTTGGGGTGGAGGTGCTGCAGTCAAATTAGCGATGGTCGCGGGAAGAGTACGTTTCACGGGACTGGACAGACCTTCAGAGTCTCTCAGTTCCAGCGCAGAGAAGTCGTCGCTCAACAACTGAGGGTCAGCATCGTAACGTTCGCGGTCACCGCTGCGACGACCCATATCACCACTCCTTCTTGGTCGATTGTAACCTTGGCCTTCACCATAGCGCTGGTTAGATGGTCCCTCATCGACGTCTTCACCGTCAAGTCGCTTTTTGAGATTCTGGACCCAAGAGTTCACTTTGGACTGAGTCTCCAGGAATCCCTTGCGAATGTTCTCGCGGATTACAGGAAGATCATCTACGCCAAAGCGCGTTAATAATAAACCAAAGCTGGTGATATCGAGTAGCGCCACATACCGTCAAAAAAACTATATTCCCGCTCCTCCGACTGATCGCTTGCTCTTCTAGCCCGGTCATGTCGAGACTCGTCCCAGCGGGGTTGCGGCGCACGACGGTTGTAATGCTCGGCTAGTTGACGGGCATACAGCTCATCCGCTTCCAATTGCCTCTGCGCTGCAGACGGACGAGGAGGCTTTGGAGGCGCTATGTCTTCTTGCTGAGCGTTGGGGTCGGTCATGCCTAAGAAAGCGTTTTGTTAATGACCGCAAGGCCGGCACAGGTTCGGCTTCACATACCAAGGAGAGCATGAAAAGCCCGTTCGACATCCCAGTTGCTGGCGACCAAAACTGCCCTGACGACGGATGCTTCGATGGTGGGAAAGGCTTCTTTGAGGGTGTTCTCTGCCTGTTGCCGCGGGCTCACTGGACGCGGTGGCTTTGGCGGGGCAGCTTCTGTACCAGTTTGCTGGGGAGGGGCAGTGGTAACACCGGTTTCTTGAGGTTCATCATCGAAATCCAAGGGACGCGCAGTAGTCGGCGACTCCGGTTTAGGACTATTAGGGCCAGCTGCCGATTTGCTGGGAGTCTTGGGAGAGGTTAGTTGTTATCATGTCACAAAGGGCACATGACAGCCTACCATCTTGTCCTCGTCCGACATTTGGCTCGGAATGATTTCGATCTCAGTTGGTCAAATGTGCGTACTTGTGCAGAGAGTATGAAGGTCAGTTGCGCGAGGCGTCTCTTCCAAACTGAGATTCAAAGTATTGGGTGAATGGTATCTGTAGGCAGAAGGTAATCCAGGGTCATCGCCGTTATTATTGGAAGACCACCTCCTATCCAAAGCTCCAGACAACGGACGCTTGTGATTGGGTTCTGACCCGCAGTGACGTTTTTGGCACGTGATACAGAGGTCCCGCCTTACCTAATCTACCTATATCCATATCTCTGAGCCTCAAATATCTGGCGCAGTACCTCTTCAAAAGGAAGTAAAAAACAATTTACTATAACTTCCAGTAAATCTGCAGCTTACGTCCTTCTGAGCTTGAATATACATGGTTTGAGCACTCTGCTAAACGGGGGCCTATATCACCCTTCCAATATGCCTCAATTGCGTTTCCTTTCTAAACCTCGAGGCTCTGAGCGGTTGAATTTACATAACTGAAAGTGGTTAATAGACCAGCATTAACAATGGCTTCAGAATTGGAAATCTCTTCCACCTTCATTCCAGCATTATACAAGCCAGCTGCACTACTACCAATTGCAAGACATCGCCAAAGCTTGCTTTATCTTGTCGAAACATACCCTGTCACGATTGTCGTTGGACAAACTGGCAGCGGAAAAACAACGCAGCTGCCACAGTATCTGGATCAAGCGGGATGGTGTGCAGATGGAAAGGCCATAGCTGTCACTCAGGTATTGTTCTATCCCCTCCATCATGACCCACAGCACGTCAGTATGTGATTGCTAAGCTGGTAACAGCCGCGTCGGGTGGCTGCCACTACTGTCGCAGCTCGAGTGGCCGAGGAGATGCGCTGCAAATTAGGCGAAGAAGTGGGGTATTCGATTCGTTTTGAAGACGTGACATCTGCTTCGACAAGAATCAAGTTCCTGACTGATGGAATGTTGCTCAGAGAGGTCCTCGTAGATCCTCTCCTTTCTCGATATTCGGTAATCATGGTCGATGAGGCACATGAGCGATCACTGAGTACCGATATTCTTCTTGGAATACTCAAAAAGATCATGAAGAGACGCCCCGACCTCCGAATCGTGGTCAGTAGTGCGACTTTGCAGGCTGAAGACTTTCTGAAATTCTTCGCCGGGGATGAATTCCAGGGCGATGGAGAAGCCGGCGAACTGGGAGGAAGCATCGGAAGAATTATTAGTCTTGAGGGACGAATGTATCCTGTCGACATTCTGTACCTGGAAAACCCAGCAGAAGATTATGTGGAACGAGCCGTCAAAACTGTATTTGACGTACATTTGCAAGAAGGGGACGGTGATATTTTGGTTTTCCTGACTGGCCGAGAGGAGATCGAGACCACAATTCAATTGATAACGGAACGTGCTGTTACCCTGCATCCCAAAACACCAGCTCTGCTACCGCTTCCTCTTTATTCTGGCCTCACAACAGATCAGCAGATGTACGTCTTCGAGCCAGCCCCTGAAAACACACGCAAGGTCATCCTGTCGACCAACATCGCAGAAGCTTCAGTCACTATCAACGGTATAGTATATGTCGTCGATTGCGGATTTGCCAAGCTCAGAGCGTATAATCCAAGTACAGGCATAGAGACATTGACAGCTGTCCCGATATCAAAAGCAGCCGCTGTTCAGCGAGCAGGTCGCGCTGGTAGAACGAAGCCAGGCAAGTGCTTCCGTTTGTATACTCAGCAGGCCTATGAAAAATTACCAGACGCTACCGTTCCTGAAATCCAACGTTCGAACCTGGCCCCTGTGATCATGCAGCTCAAGGCTCTGGGTATTGACAATATAGTACGATTCGATTTCTTGACACCTCCGCCTGCGGATTTGGTGATACGTGCCTTTGAGCTTCTATACTCGCTTGGAGCAGTCGATGACTATGCGAAACTTACCAATCCATTGGGGGTGCGAATGGCCGAACTCGCCTTAGAGCCCATGTTGGCAAAGGTCCTTCTCAGCGCGCGATCCTTCAACTGTTTGAGTGAGATCCTTTCCATTGCTGCTATGATCAGTCTCCAAGGTTCTGTATGGGTGCAGCACGAAGGCGATAAGAAGTCGGCGGAGAGCAGCCGCAGAAAGTTTGCCGTTGAAGAAGGGGATCACTTGACCTACCTCAATGTGTACCAGGCGTTTGTTACGAAAGGAAAGAAAGACCCCAAATGGTGTCGGGATAATCTCTTAAACTATCGGTCGATGCAACGAGCTGTTAGCATAAGAGCTCAATTAAAACGCTACCTTGAGCGCTTCGGGTATCAAGTGGATGAGACTCTCTCTGGTCGCCACGGAACGGCTGATCTAGCTAGACCGGCCGAACAAATTCAAAGATGTCTGACAACTGGCTACTTCGCACATGCTGCAAAAATGCAGCCAGATGGGACTTTCAAGACGGTCAGCGGAGGGCTTACTCTACATGCGCATCCAACTTCCTTGATGTTTGTACGTGCTCGCCATTGTCAGTCTCTGTCACCATACTTTTCCCATTTACTGACTGATTGATATTTAGAACCGCAAAGCAGATTGGGTCATCTTCCATGAGATACTGCAAACTGGTGAGAAAACATACATTCGTGACATCACCAAGATCGAGAAGAGCTACCTGCTTGAGTATGCGCCGGATTTCTACAAAGTCCAGTGATTGCATCCTTTGTGGAGCGTCGAGTCTGGGTGTTGCTTACCCAAGAGTGCAAGCTAGCAGGCATGTGCAGAGCTTCGTTGCCATATAGTCTCAATCAACCGGTTTAAACATAGGCTTCGTGATAGACGGTGTGTATGATGGAGCATATTGTTGACAGGGTGATATTGCGATTCGTGCAGTGTGGCAAGAGAAAATGTCCAATACCTCATGATGATATCCAGTAAATGAATGATCTCTATACATAGCATGGATGGAGCGAGAGCATGGTAGATAATCTCAGTGATTCCCATTTCGTGGGGAACTCCGAATTATTATGCCCCGGAATCATAGAAGGTCCGCCGTTCTCCCAAGGTCAACGCAATACTCTCAAGTTTTGGATTCAACAATCGTTTACTTATCTCAAATACAAGCTAACAATAGGAAACATTTTGATACCCCTCTCGTTTTGACACAAAATGTCAGGACATCACCACCACAACCATGACCATGGCGGACATTGCCATGGAGAGGATGGACATGATCATTCGAACGATATCACCCCTGCTATTCAGTCCCTTCTTTACTCACAGATCGCCTTCGATGATATTACCACATTGAACGGTATGCCTACGGTAGCCTTTTATATGGTCGTTCGCGAACATAGTTGTTGATGCAAAGCGCAGAAGCCACACCTAAATCAGGAACTGCTATTGTGCAGAAGACATGGGCTGACCGATTGAATGATGAGCCTGAACTCGAAAGCGATGCGGATGAGCAGCTCTTAATGTACATCCCGTACGTCTCGACCTCTATTCCTTCAACTTGAAGCTCTGCTGGCAGTCTCCGATCATTCTCACGTTTTTGCTTTACCCCGCTGATTGCCCCTCATCCTATCAATGCTCGATTGTCGCAAAACGCACCAGTGCCACAGAAGCCAGCCCTGCCAGAAAAGCTGTGGGGATAAAGTAATACTGAATATCTATCGTACTACAGGTTCACTGGACAAGTGAAATTGCACTCCTTGCTCATCTACACCGCACCCACACCGTCTGCACCCAAAACGTTGAAGCTCTTCAAGAACCGGAATGATCTGGATTTCGCAACTGCCTCAGATTTGACACCCACGCAAACAATCGAGATCCCGCAGCCAGTTCCTGGGTCTGACGTCTTTGAGCTGCCCCTCAATCGCGCTCATTGGAATGCGACTACTTCAATCACCTTGTTCTTCGAAGACAACTGGAGCGGCGGAGAAGAGGATGTGACCAAAGTTGGATATATCGGTTTTAAAGGCCAGTTTATGGCTCTGAACCGTGAACCGGTCAGTTTCCTCTATGAAGCTGCTGCAAACCCTAGCGATCATGTAGCCATTCCGGGTGTCAGCGGAGTGGGAGGGAGAGTAATGCCTGGTCAATGAACCATTCAGTTCCATGAATGGAAAATGGCGTACTGGACGACAGATAGCTAAGGTAGAAGAGTTTCAATGCCTGTCACGCTGCTTTTTGGCGCGGCTCAACTCCATTATGTACATGAGTTCAAATGAAACTAATGATATGAAACTCGCGTCTGGTGTATAGTACACGCAATTTGACCGGAAGTATGGACGATGCAAGCTTTAAGCTTTCATGGCTGGGTTACTATCGCCAGAGGAGAGAGCAACGAAAGAGGGACAAAACCACCAGCGCCCGAAAATGCTTGAGTCTCTGCTGTATGTATATAGTTTGATCAGCAGAAGCGTATGTAATGCATGCATCAGGAAGCAGGAACTGCAGTACGCGTCTTCATCCTGGCGGCCGAAATCTCCACTTCTTCTTTGTCGGCTTCTTCTTCACCCACGGCCATAACTGGAGGGGCGGTAGGGACCTTTGGTAAGGTGATAGCTTCTGTCTCTTGCCGTAATCTCTCCAACTCGTTCTCAACTTCGTCCTCATCCTGGTTCGACAACTGGCCCGCAAGCATCTGGCTAATTTCCTGTAATTGCATGCGGTTAGCACAACGATTATCCAATTCACGACGCCGTCACTTTACCTCTTGGTAAGCCCTGGCTTCTTCAGTTTCGCCCATCAGCTTCTCGACAGCTTCGATACCTCCCATTTCCTTGTTGATAGCTTGGAGCACCTTTGTTCCCTGTTGCAAGCCAAAGAGAACATCTTTCTGGACCAGGGAAAATTCCACCTGGCTTGTCAGCTGCTCCAGCTGCTCCAGCTGCGCATCAGTTTTACTTAGGAGTGTTTCTTGATATTTCTTGCGACGAAGAGCCAGCAGGGCACATCGGCGGTCATCTCGCGCAAGACATTCCTTTGCTATGGCGGTCTCGCGGTCTGTGAGGACAGTGATTCGTTTTTGATACTGACGAAGCTTATCGCGCTGATTCTTCAGATCCAGAATGGCCCTTAATACCAGCAATTTTCCTCGTTAGTAGTCATTCTGCAGGCGGTTCGGGGCATGGCAAGCAGACGGGGGATAAGATCGCTGCTGGCGTCACATGCGGTCCGTGATAGGGTGCTCAGATTGCACAATAAGAGATGAGGAGTAGCTGAAACACAAGAGAAAGGCAAACCTACCTATCCTGAGCAGAGATCTTATGAGAACTGCTTGTGTTTCCCATTGTCGCGGCATGCTGGCAGTGTCAATCTGGAGTGTAGATAAGTCGGCGGTAAGTACACCCCAGAAAGTCAAAACACTCTGGAAAATGACGTACACTCTTCAAAACACTCAGTGCAGCGTAAGAAAAATACCATGTGCGTAATGGAAATTTATCTGAGGAGTACTGGCCAATCAGACAAGTGGACTCTGGGATCGTTGTATTTTTAACTTCTGAGAAAGCCGACCGCGGTAAATCTATTTCCCCGATGGCCCAAAAAATATAGAGAATCGTGGGATTTTCTAATAGATTGGCATCACTTTTAGCGTCACGCTTTGGACGGGACTGTTCTTGCGCAGACAGCCCCTGCGTTTGAAGAAGATGCGTCAGTCCCGTGGGGGTAGGTCGACTCTGAGGCAAGGCCTGGATCGCGAGGTGAGAAGAAACCGAGGATAATGCTCGCCGTATTGGCGTACATCTATAATAAACTGACTTTCTTTTATTCTAGGTTTACCAGATCGTGCGCAAGATCATCGATGATCAGGGGGAGAACGATCGGATCCGTCTCTCGGTGCCCGCGATCTACGATACCATCAAGCGATCAAATTCCAGCCTGAACAGGAAGCCGAAGAGAATATTAGAGGACAGTATTGAAAGGGTCGTGGAAGTGGTTAAAAGCGATGTGCTCGGCGAAGATGAAGAAGATTCAGTGAATGGTGATTTCGAGGGTCTGGAGGAGCAAACCCAACCTGCTCCAGTACGCGACATATGAACCTCTCTCCATGCTTGCATTTCTGACGATCACAGGAATCCAACAGTCTCAATCGGAGCATTGTAGGCGCATGGAATACCACTTCGAAACCGCAAAAGTCTGCCGAGCCCAGTGCTTCTGAAAGCGCACCTACGCCTGCACCAGTCCCGACCAAGAGACGACAACATGGAGGTGAATCTCAATCGTCCAAACGACGCAAGGCCGACGTGGCCGTTGATCGCTCGCCTCCGACACACGTGAGCCTTGCGGACCTGGGTGGATTGGACGACGTGATTCAGAGTTTGGGAGATCTCCTCATCCTACCGATGACCCGTCCACAAGTTTTCGTGTCGTCAAATGTTCAGCCACCCCGTGGTGTGCTATTGCATGGTCCGCCAGGTTGCGGTAAGACAATGATCGCCAATGCGTTCGCGGCAGAACTAGGCGTCCCATTCATCCCAATATCTGCTCCATCCATCGTGTCGGGAATGTCGGGAGAGTCCGAAAAGGCTCTACGAGAGCATTTCGAAGAAGCCAGAAGGCTTGCGCCTTGCCTCATTTTCATCGACGAAATCGACGCTATCACCCCGAAGCGAGAAAGTGCACAAAGAGAGATGGAGAAACGCATAGTTGCTCAGCTCTTAACATGCATGGACGACCTAGCACTGGACAAAACCGACGGCAAGCCCGTGATCGTTCTAGCGGCTACCAATCGACCGGATAGTTTGGACGCAGCCCTGCGTCGCGGGGGTAGATTTGATAAGGAAATCAACATGACCGTCCCCTCGGAACCAGTCAGAGAGCAGATCCTGAGAGCGCTTACCCGAAAAATGCGTCTCGCTGACGACTTAGACTTCAAGACTCTGGCCAAACGGACACCGGGCTTTGTCGGCGCTGATCTCAACGACTTGGTCTCCACAGCAGGCTCTGCGGCTATCAAACGATACCTGGAACTACTCAAATCGAATAGTGGGGAAGAGATGGACATAGGAGATCTTGATGATCTGAGCCCTAAAGTCAAAGAGCTGCGACGGCTTATCAATCACGCGAAGGAGACCCCCCTCGGTGACGAGACGCAGATGGTCTATGTCTCCAATGCAGACTTTTTTACCGCTCTTCCCAAAATCCAGCCGTCCTCCAAGCGTGAGGGCTTCGCCACTATACCAGACACTACATGGGCAGACATTGGTGCTTTGGGAGGGATTCGCGAAGAACTCAATACTGCGATCGTGGACGCAATCAAATCTCCCGAGCTCTATGAGAACGTGGGTATTACGGCACCCACAGGTGTCCTGCTTTGGGGTCCCCCCGGCTGTGGTAAGACGTTGCTGGCCAAGGCTGTGGCCAATGAGTCGCGCGCCAACTTCATCAGTGTCAAGGGACCTGAGCTGCTCAACAAGTTCGTGGGTGAGTCAGAGCGTGCAGTACGGCAGGTCTTTGTTCGTGCCCGCTCGTCAGTCCCTTGCATTATTTTCTTCGACGAACTTGATGCCCTGGTCCCCCGCAGAGATGATGCTCTGTCCGAAGCTTCCGCACGTGTCGTCAATACCCTGCTGACCGAGCTTGACGGCCTCGGCAGCAGCCGTCAAGGTATCTACGTGATTGCCGCCACTAACAGACCGGATATTATCGACCCTGCCATGCTTCGTCCAGGTCGTCTTGAAACGCTTCTCTACGTCAGCCTGCCTAATCCCTTGGAGCGTGTGGAGATTTTGCAGACCCTTGTTCGCAAGCTTCCTATCGAGTTCAACGAAGATATGAGGAGGCTCGCCGAAGAATGCGAAGGATTCAGCGGTGCGGATCTGGGAAGTTTGCTGCGCCGTGCGGGTTACTCTGCGATCAAGAGACGCGATCAGATCAGCTTTGAGGACTTCGTTGCCGCTAAGGCTTTCATTCGGCCCAGTGTTACCGATCTCAAAAAGTATGAGAAGCTCAGGAGGGAGTGGAGCGGCGGCGTGTTGTAGATATCCGACTAGAGTGGCGTACAAAGTCAACGAAAGCATTGTGTACGTACGAAATAATGGTCATACCAAAAGCTTTGCATGTGCAGATGCTGGCAATCTCCTCGCTTGCTTGGAAAATTGCAATCAATGAGGCTACCAATGGTTCGTTTTCCATGTAATGTCTCCAAAAATCAGACTTGAGATCGGGATGGCAGGTTGCTTGGACCATCAGATGAGGACCTAATTTTGAGGAAAACAATTTTTAGAAGGACAATAACTTTTATAAAGCGGATATATCTATTGACGAAAACATTGATGCACACCAAGACGCCTCTCATGTAGACATGACCTGATAAATTAACAGTTGGAAATCCCAATATGTACGCTTCGAATCGACATGTGATTACATCCAGAGACGGCAAGTTCCATCTGCGCCTGCACTGACACACCATGGTTCTCTGGGATGCCAGTCGACGTCCAACACACCGAGTTCGCCAGTGATTTTGTGTCCCTTGAGAACCTTGAGCGGTACAATGGTGGCATTGCTGAGCATATCTCCGGTAACACTGCCGTGGAAGATTTGAAGCGAGCCGTCGTCACTGGCATCTGCAAACAGGGGGTAGCGGCCGCCTGGGTGGAACTTGACAGCACGGATGGCCTTGCGGTGGTAGCGCAGCGTCTTATAAGGACGCTGCGACAATTCGAGATCATGCCAAAGGAGACGGCGATCATACGAGCCGACAATAAGATTGTCTCCACCGGAAGCGGTGGAGGAAGTCGGGTGGATGTCGAAGGAAGAAATCCAGCGAGCACCAGGTTGTAGAATCTTGACGAGAAGTTGACGTGAAAGATCGTATGCGCGAATGCTTCGCTGGTTTGCGACAAAGAGGATCGGTTTCGAGGGGTGGAAGTGAGCAGCCTGAGGAGGACCGCCGCCCTTGATACGCCGGCGGAAAGGGTACTGAGTCAGATGCTTGGACAGAGTGTGGATGGCAATGGCCACCGAAGCTGGGGTTGATGAGCCAGGGCAAACCGTGACAAAGTAGTCACCACGGCGATGCCACGAAAGGGACTTGGCGACATAGCGAAGAGGGATGACAGCGCAGACTCCCAAATCAGCAAGAGACGATGAAGGACGCATCCACTTAGGAGGATTGTTCTTCTTGTTTGCTTCAGCAGGAGTGGGAGGAGGGACAGATGCAGCATATCCCCAGCCCGCATCCAGAATGTCCAGGCTAGCTTTTTCAATTGCTGGGTCAACAATTGGAGGAACAGCAAGGAAAATGTCGTCGCCAGCCGCTGCAGCGAGGATAAGAGCATCCTTGCCCGGTCTCCAGCGAACAACATTAACAGGGTCTTCCTCGCTCAATTTCACGCTCCACAATTGGCGGCCCGTAAGAAGTTCCCAAACACGAACAGTTCCGTCATCGCCACCAGTAGCCAGCAACAGACCGGAAGGATCAACAGCCAGTGTACGTACCCGACCCTTATGCCCTCTGAACACGGTAGCACAAGCAGTGGGGAACGGTTTCAACTCTTCAGGGCTCGGAAGTTTGGGCAAAAGGCTTTCAGGGTCGATGTTCAACTTGCTCCTACGAACTCTAGGGGCCAGGTAAAGATCCAGGCACCGCTCGAACTTCTCCTTGACAAAGTTTTCATAGCCAGGAACTCTGCGCAGAGAACCGAAATCGTTAGGGAGAAACTCGCTGGCCCGGTCTTCAGGGTCAGCTTCCTCCCAAGCCTTTCGTTCTTTCTGACTAGGCAAGTACTCTGGAGGCGGGTGGTAACTTTCCTCATAGCCTGGAGGTGGAAGTTTAGGTGCAGGGATATGCATAGGATGATCCTTCCGCTCCGCTTCATCGGCCCAGAGATCGTACTTGATGATCGTATCATCCTCCTCATCCTCTTCCGTGGGAGGCTTAAATGGGAGGATCCGGCCTTCTCTGATTGCCTTCACAATCTTCATAACCCGCTTAGCTTCGTGTTTCGAGGGCACAAACCGCCGTTTAGGTTCTGGCGCAGCACTCAATGGCATGATTTCCTGCTGACTGGTAAACCACTCAACGGTGGGCTCATAAGGGTTGTAACCATCTTCGGGAATTTCGTTCATTTGAACTTTGCGCAGCAGCTCCAGCTCCTCCTGGCTCAGCTCCAGAGGTTTACCAGTGGAAGGATCAGTAAGACCTGTCCAACCCTTGGGTATCTCAATGCTATCGAGCAGCGCGTCTAAAGCTTCGCCTTTCGCGGGGCGCAGAATCTTCTTCCCGTTGATGTCGTAACCGATATGAGGATATTGATCGTAAAATGAAAGAGGAATGTCGCCGATAGTGTTTGCATTCTCCTCGATATCAGAATACTCAGAATTATCGTCCGGATTGATCTCGTCGTAGACGAAGCGGTCATTCCCATTGGCGTCCTTTTCAATGCGATAGTTCAACTGTTCTCCCTCGCTCGAGCTCTCACCATCATCCATCGCTGCGCCAAGTTCACCAGGCGCGGTGTTTGACTTTTTCTTGGCTAAATCCTCTCCATCCGACGGAATCTCATCACTGTCGAGTACGTCTTCTTCTTCCTCATCATCTTCATCACTAAAGTCATCGATCAACTCGACCTCTGAATCGCTCTCATCCTCGTCACTCGACAGGTCGTTGGCGTTATCCGAAAGCGCTCCATCAAGGTTGTCTGTGTTCAATTCGTCTCCAGAAAACACGCCTGCCTCCTCCTCCACATCACGAGTAACTGCCTTGCGCTTCTTGGAAGCTTTCGAACCATTCATATTGGCGAAAAGCGGCTGCGTTCGTCCAACAAGAAAGCTTTGAACGATAAGCTGCAATTTTCAAGCGGACTTTTTTTCTCTCTCTGTTTTTTTGCTTTTCCCCGAAAATGAGATTGCTGACCGCCCACGTGATACACCGCCTTGATATCCTCATTTATCGCATTTCGCTGATCTTCCATGGATAATATCAGTAGGCCCCCACTGTCATCATTATTCTGTTATTTATCGCTGTACGTCTCCAGCACTATGGTTATTGCCAACGACCAATTTTGAGCTCATCCAATACTGTGTTGTAAAATTTCCATCCACATCATTCGGCATGCAATTCGATAGTTTACCTCTCCCTCCTAGCAGTAGTCATGACACCGCCTCGGTACCGCCTTTGAAAAGGCATGCGGCTTGTGACGAGTGCAGTAGGTACTCCTCGATGCAGGATCGTTCTCAAGTGAATACTGAGGCCTGACAAGCTTCGATAGGGAAACGGAAGTTGAAATGCTCTGGTGAAGCTACGGGCTGTAGTCGTTGCCTTAAGCAGTCCCTTCCTTGCCACTATTCATTACAGAAGCCGATGGGACGCCCACCGAAAAAGCGACCCCGTGAGGACAATGATGCATCCGTATATGAAATCACAGACAATGGGATGTGGGCTGATATAGATGATGGTGGGATTTTGACTGAGGAAGCCGGGGCTGAAGCTACAGCAGCATCAGATGCCCTGCGACTTTGTCCTCCAGTGTACACCGCACCAATGCGAATGCCACAGGCTTTTCCTAACCTATTATCTACTGACGATAGTCACAATCACCTATGGCAGTTGGAAGCCGGTAGTTCGCTCGACCCTATCCCTGCGACTACCGGTCCTTGGCCTGATTTCTCCAGCGTAACGGCCGCAACGTCTTCTCCGTTCACATTACCGTCGAGCTTGACGCTCATTGATTCTCCTAGCGTATCATCCCCCAGCTCGGACGGTGGTAACAGTTCTCAGTGTACCTGCTTATCATACTTGTATCTATGCCTCAGTCATCTTTCTTCCCTTGCTCCCTTTCCAATATCTCAACACACGTTGTGTTCATTATTTATTGCTGCCAAAACAGCGCGGGCTGTCATTCGTTGTGAGGTCTGTCCCACAAGCTTTGCTCTGGGGATGCAGAATGTCATGTTTACTGGAACCCTCTTGAATGTCGTTGCGGATGCTTGGCTGCGAGTGTCGCAAGCTGACGCTGAAGAACTCGGCAAGTTAGCAGCCCCGCCAGCTTATGTGGCTTCAGTGACACAGAACTCCCCAAACCCCGCAGAGGCTTGGAAGGACTGGCTTCGACAAACTGTCAGAAGCGCTATTACAGGCGGCCCGGTAGATCCTGCTGGTCAGGTGAAGTGCTCGGATTCGCCAACATTACTTTCTCTCATTGAGGAAATGGAGGCCCGCCAGCATAGATGGCATCGATCTCGAACTGTGGAATCCCCAAACGAACCCAGATCTTGTTCACCTGTCTCCCATGAGGACCATCGGGAAGAGGATATGCTTTGCTTTCGTGTAATCCGAAGCGCCAGAGATGTTATAGCCAAGTTTGAATTTGCACCGCACGAGTACCCGGAGGGTGCGGTTTCGGTATGAGCGATCTATTTGTTTACCTACGTGATTGGTGTCACGGGATTAGGCAATAATTTATGCTGGGGAGTTAAGGCTTGTGGGAGATTTGTCCTGGGTGCGACGACATACTGTGCCAGATACCACTTCTATTTGCTGCCTTATGGACCGAATCGATCAATACCATTCTTGCCAATGCCTGACTCGCGCTCCTAGTATTGCAATGGAGCAATACATAATTTCAATAGAGCTTTTTAGTCGGGTAAGAACCTACGTAGAGCGGCGGAGATTTTGTATACTAGGGCGACAATGGACGATCGATCTTCATCATGGCCTCTAATTTTCTCGTTACTAAATACAATTTCACTGACTCCGAGAAGCTGTTCCAGGATGCAGGGTCATTAATTAGGAGAGCGTGGTCACGAGGCCAAGGACCATTCGAGGGCGGCGCAAACGGCCTAGGACGGAAGATTATTCGTCCTCATCGTCATCATCAACGATGTAGCGATTCTTCTTCCTCACCGGTGGCGTTCCGGATGCTCCTGCTTCCGAAACAGGTCGCTCTGGTGCCGGCCGCTTTTCTTTGGCGGGTCTCTGGGCAGGGACATCCTCCTCCTCTTCGCCTTCCGCGTCCATCTCGTCATCCTCGAGGATCTCCTCGTCCTCATCATCTTCAATAATCTCAGGCTCTTCGTCACTGCCAACAAGGAAGCCATCGTCTTCGTCGTACTCATCTTCCCTCGTGCGTCCGCGACGATCGTAATCTTCTTCGTCATCGGTATAAATTTCACCACGACGATTGGGTTTGCGAGGCTTGCGTGCGCGGGGTCGCGTAGCGAGTAGGCCGTCGTCATCTTCTAGACCACCTACGGTCAGACCAGCACCACCTGAGCGGTGGGAGAAGCCGACACGACGACCACGGTCGAGTTCACGCTCTGCGAGCTGCTGACGGCGACGTGCAGCCTTGAGTTTCTCCCGCTCCGCCATTTCGGCCTGTCGCTTGGCCAGTTCAGGGTCCTCCTTAACCTCGATAACTGGCGCCGATCCATCCGCTGTCTTCTTGCTACCTCGCGCAGCCGCAGCCAGAGATTCTTGCAGACGCTGCACCGCATCGTCAGTCTCCACGGTCGTAGGAAGAACAGTGAGGCCATGGGTTAGATGTGAGGTCAGTCGGAAAACCGACGACGTCTCTGCGGCTGCTCCCAAGTAGACATGTGAATCCAGTTTTGTATCGTATTCGCCTGCCTTGTTTGTGGGTGCCAGGGGCTTGGTGGATATTCTGTACTGCTCCTTGGGTGCCGACGCAAGCTGGAGTGTTAAAGAACCGTCTTCCCACCGGATAATTCTAGCGTTTGATTGCAAAAGAGATTCGTCGTTCGGGTCATGCCGCCAGCACAGGGAAGTCGCCGCAGTAGTGAATGGAGGCGCGACGTACGTCTCCGGGTCGAATTCCTCTGTCTCTATCGACAAGAAATTTGGCACTGGCATTGTATAGACCTGCGTGTATAGAGTCAGCCAACATGAAAGCATGCTCTCCTTCGGCCCTACTCCACGTACCTCACCATTTGAAGTCACTGGCTCAGGCGCCCGGCCTAAACTCAGGTCCATAATGTTCACAGTTTCCTGGTAATCCCCTTCCACGCCATCCTCATCCATGCGATCTCCGGCTCTGTCGTAGCGATCAATGTCGTCTCCCGAATCTAACTCCTCGTCGTCGAGTGTCCTTTGTCGACTGACAAGCGGTCAGTATATCTTAATACTGAAAGCATTGTAAAAGCCTTCCATACTTCTCCTCATTGCCAAACCCCCCTTCCGACCCGTCAGATCCAAACAGGTCAGCGTCGTCGTCCCCATTCATGTTTCCCGCATCCGATCCGAAGGTACTCGGATCGCGCGCAGCGGGAGTGTTGCTGTGTTCGCTACCGACAGGGCTCTCGGCTCGATCAGCAGCCGTGGTTCTTCCTGGCCGGCGTACCACATCTTCATCGGAAGAAGACATGATGTGTGTTCTCTGAATGTGCTCTGGCCCTTCTGGGGTAACAGAGATCAACGCCTATGACCGACGCGCAAACGGCGAAATCACCAGTGCAAGTTCAGGTTAATTTGTTCCCGAAGACGGAATCGCAAATATGAATAGAGAAATAGATTCCGCTCACTCAATCGTGGTGAACTGTCAAAGTAGCACCTGTTGCAGAGCTTTCGTCGGAGGAACAGCCATCGAGATTGAGCTATGGAGTATTGATTGTCTCCAGGAACGTCCAGATAATCCGTTCCGTACCCAATAGGGTTTAGCGGCGGTAATAGCTCCACAGGGCCAGACCGATAGAGGAGATCAACAACTGGAGAGTCGTAGGAGTGCAGTCAATATTACGGAGTCCTCTCTTTCTTCTTTGTACTGTTCCTGTTCCTGTTCTTCCCAATCTTTTTACTTAGGTGTCTAGTCTAGCTGGCTATCTGGGACCCTGTTAACAACAATGGCGACCTTTTTTCAGAGTGTGTAAGTGTGCTGCGCGGCTCTCTTTTAGGTTGGATTTGTTCCTGAACACCCCCTTCACACCGTCCCCTGAATTCCCAATATGGCAGCAGAATGATCAGACTCGGCGCTGCAGATGCAGGAAGAAAACTTTCCTGCACCTGAGCCTGCATGATTTCTTTCCCTCATGTTTTTTTTTCCTGTGCGCTTCTTGTACTACCCCTTTTACGGACACCTTACTCGGCCTCTTTCTCCCCGCTCATAAAGTCTCAGAGTTGTGAATTGACTTGCTAACTCGATATTCCTATAGTCGCCAAGGATTTGGCAGAGGTGGTAATAACAAGAATAACAATAACAACGCTCCGAAGATGAACAACGGAAATTCTGCTCAGTCCCCGGCCTCTCAATCTGTTCAAGTGGCTCCTGGACCCAACTCCCCATCGTTTCCGCCGAGCGTGGACAGCCCTGCACCTTACGACCCTGACGCCCCCAAGTACTTTTTCCAGGAGAAGTATGCCCCTTTGAATGTAAAGGGTAACTTCCTGACCCTGTGTGCTTGTCCGAAGAATGTGGAGCTTGGAGAATGGCTGGCTCATCAAAGTAAGCGATTCTTATACATCCCCGTGTGGTCAGATCCTCGGTGCTGATAGTCCGACCCCATACAGTTGTTGAACAATACCGCTTGCTCCACGGCATGCTTCAGGTGATTCAGGAGGTCAATGGTGTCACTGGTTTACCTATCTGCAATGAAAGCACCTGTCCAACTATGTCTGCGGGTCGGTAAGTGACCCTGAAAATCCCACGAACACGTCCAAATTTCATGCCGCCTCTAACTGAATTCCCCGATAGCTTGACATATACTTGGCTTGTAGACGGGCGTGCCGCCAAGATCTCCGCTCCCAAGTTCATCAACCGCGTTGAAAAGTGGATTGTCAGCAAGATCCATGACCCGGTCATGTTCCCCACCGAGAAGGTCACCGGCACCCCTGACACCTTTGCACTGCATGAAGCTACAAATGCCAATCCCGGTAGCGCCGACGCGAATTCTACCGGCGAGGAGTGGATTGGCAAGTCCAGCGGCTTTCCTCAGACTTTCTACAAGGACTGTCAAGGCATCATGAAACAGATGTTCCGTTGCTATGCTCATCTGTACCACGCACATTGGTTGAATCCGTTTTGGCACATCAACAAACATGACATTTTGAACATGTGCTTCGTCCATTTCGTTACCGTCGCCAAATACTACAAGCTGGTTTCCGACAAGGAGATGGAGCCTATGCAGCCCCTGATTGACTTGTTCATCAAACAGCAGCGTATCCCCCAGGAGGCGCTCGCGGGAGGTCACTGGGGTCAGCCAAGCTCTAGTTGAGCTAGAGGATGTCTTTTCTGACTTTGAGCGACCATTAAGCGGTTTTCCGCTGACCTGTGTTGGAACTGGTATTTCATCATACGGTCATGCATCAAGATCTTGGATGATTCGCGTTTCCTATTCCGGGTACCCTTACTAGCAGGTGCAATGACCGTGGCTTTTCTTTGAGCATTTTTCCCGTCCGCGTAGATTCCTTCGAAGTCCGTTTTCGTCCGTCTGGAATTCTGGTACATCTGCTGTCATCAATGTCTGTTCGACTGGAATACCACATCATTTCGCATCTCACACTTCTCCTCTGCATACTTCCGTCGCAATACTTTACTGCTGGGTAGCATTGTCTTGTGATATTTGCTTCTGGGGATTATTGTGACGTGCATAGATTTTAACATTTAGCTGAGAGAATCAGAAGAGACAACGAATCGATCAACATATGCAATGGTAGTTTGGCTGATGTACTCAATTCCGAGGCTCAACATGGGATGCCTGTTGTCCAGTCTGGCAAATGGCGGCATTGCGCAAGAAGCCATGTAAAGAGCGACATGACCCAAGGGCGAGTGCAATCCGAGTCAGTCTATGTTGCGATAGAAGAACAACCACAGCTGGAATCCACTAGGTGACCCTCTAGGTGGTGTGCGTTTCTCTCTCAGGGAGTTGGTGAAAGCAACTCAGTGCCTAGCGACTGAGATTGCTCATCCAGACCAGTAACTATGATGCAGTTGGGTGGAGCGTCTTCCACAGGTGCCATGTCGCTTCAGACAGCACACAGAAGAATAAATCCGTCCGATGTCGATCTTCTGGTGGGAAGGCCAACCAGCAGCACTGATGTCTCACAGGTAGACGCCTTCTTCCTCGTTGGCCTGCCTATCTTCCGGCCTCCTCGTCGCGTCCTCGTGTGCTCTAGGCCGCTCATCCCCCGCAGTACCATTGATGACAGGCTGTGATGTGGATGTTTCGTCTCCATCCACTTTAGTATCCGCCTCGATTTCCTCTTCAATCCATCGTTCGCCTCGATTCTCAGTCTCGGTCTTCAGGAGTCTAATTCGGTCATTCATAGTGGCGATGACGCCCTCGTTTTCTGCGATGTACCCTTCCAGCTCTCGCTTATCGCTCTCACTCTCACAGGTCTCGTCTATAAACGCTCTAAGCTCGCTATTTGAGCGGCGCAGGTGTGCGATGGAATTCCTGATTTCGGAGACCTTTGCGTACACCGCGGAGAGGGGCAGTTCCTTGATGGCTTCGGCAAAGGCTTCGAGGGCGATGGGCTGGGCCTCTTCTGACATTTCGGCTAGCTGTGGAGCAAATCTTCTTGAGCTTGAGTAATAACAGATACCAAGGGTTTTCGTTTTCTTTAAAGTGACTATACTGGGTTATCATATTTGGGATGTCTCATCGCCCAGGCCATGCTCAATCTTATCGTTATCTCCACGTGATATTTATAGAATTCATCTTGGGATGTTTGGCACGATGAACATTTTCGTTCTAAGGTAGCGTTTGCTAAGGTCCCTTGACGCAGGCTATGCCAAGATGTATCTGACTGCAGCTCCTTGTTGCAGTATTCCTGGAGAAATGCCATGCTGATGTTTTTTGCAGATGGATTAGCAGTAGTAACAGCAATATATATATAAGGATATTCCACGTAGTTTTCCCAGCGATTACCTCCCACCAGCTTGAAAGCTGATATACTCAAGTGTCACTAGAAGGAGAGAAAATGTAAATTAATTCCCAAAGATACTCTTACACTCAAAACGCCTGTTCTATATATATGGTTCGACTCAGGAACCTCGTCCGTTCGGATAAATTGATAGGCCGCTCGGAGGTCCGCTTTGTATATCGCATCCACATGGAACTTCTCCAACACTCCCATTACATTATCATCAACAACATCATCCTCTAGCATATCCTTGCAGCAGGACCTCAAGTCCAAATCGCAGGATATGAGCAATGCGCTCTGTGTAGCATGGCGGACTCCATGCTCGGGGCTTGCCCCTTCGGGCTTGCTTCCGTTCAGATCAGCCATGTTCCGCTCCATGCTTTGCGATCTCCGCACTTCTTTCACATGTCGTTCGTACAGTACATTCAGACGACCTCTTCGTACATTTGGCCAGAGACTTCATTCGGTGCCATTTCTGATCGCCAATCGATTTAATCAGGCCCATTCGCCGAATTCCGTCAGGTCGTTCAGTACCTCCGTTCCTTTACTTTCACACTCCGCTCCTCCCGCTGAACATGGCGTCCCGCCTCGCTCCGAGCCCTTCTCCCCGGCTGAGATCAACAAAATCTTCGGACCCCGAGCAAAAATATCTCCGGCGACAGGCAATCGGGTACTTGCCGTACTGCACGGCAGACGTGTTGCCGGTACTCTCGACCTCGACCTGCCCAAAGACATAACTCGCTCCGTTCCCCCGTCCAGTCGTGATGCTGCCCTGGAGTGGCTGCGCGAGAACTATCCGCTAGATGAAGATGCCGCCATTCTCGCTCGTATCGAAAGAGAAGAACTCGAGGAGCAGCAGAAGCTTATTAAGCGAGCTGAAGAACTCGGACTGTACAAGCCTCAATCCGGAACATTCGGTGCTGAGCGCGGTGACTCGAACGACCCCTACGGCAAGAGTGTCCTGAAGGAAATTCGGGAGCGGAATGAGGCGCGACTCCTAGCGGAACAAGAGAGAAAGCGCAAGGAATGGCTGGAGAATGAGAATAAAGAGCGAGAACAACTGTTGCGCCAGGTCAAGCAGAATACAGCTCTGCAAAAGTTCGACGACTCTTCGGCACTAGAGGGTGAGTAGATCCAGCTGAGAGGCAGATGCCTACCATTGACGGAGGTACTGAGTTTCCCTGGTGTCTAGTACGAGAACGCGCGGATCCTGCAGAGCGCCCTTTACTTGCCTGGATCCAGAAGCACCACTTGCAAGCGACGGACTGGAATGTGGAAGCGGCAGAAAAATTGAGCACGGTAAGTCTTTTGCTTGAGTGAAGAGGGACGCAAACTCATTGCTGTCAAACAGGCTCGTCGCATTCTGCCAAGTCTCGCGCTCACTCTTCTCGTCCTTGGCCTCAGCTATGCCTTTGCCGCAAATTATGAAGCCCCAGCGAGGGCAGACCGCCTGTGGCCGGATATGCCCCCAGCAGCCGCCACTGCGTTCGCCATAATGGGTGCGAA